GCCAACTTGCCAAGAGTTGCGCTACAATGTGGGTGCCTGTTGCACCATTGACCCGCTGTCCATTCCGACGTCAAATAGACGCTTGCTGGTGTGCTGCTTTGCTTCGGTGTCGCAAGCCACAGTCCTTTTCGAACAGGTCACAATTTGATTGCACTTTTGGTTTCCCTGGTGAAGGGCCTGATGACACTTGGTCCCTCTTCTCCCACAACACCGGTTCTCTCCGAACCACAATGCAATGGCAGTCTTCCATGGATTCGGTCCTTTGTGTTCAAGAACCACGCATTGGTCGGAATAACCACCGTGATGCCTCCTTCCGTGTTCAGGCCACTGGTCGTCAGCTTTTTTCCTCTAAGTTGTTACCTGGCCTCATCACCAACCATGGTGTTTCACGCACTCCACATGGTGGTTCTGCCATTTTGGCCCCCCAGGAGACCACCCAAGCTTTCGATCCCTTGCAGGATATCACTGGCCTGTATCAGGAGTTGTATAACTCAACTAGAGTCACTGCGGTGTGGCATCAGGTCACCAAACATGTTCGTGCTCTCATTTGGTCCTTTTATGGTCGCACAGGTGCCTCATCAGAGCAGGATCCCCACTCTTGGAATGACCATGCACTGTCACAGATCTTTGAGATCTCCGCCCAATACGGGGACATACCGGTCTTGATTGCTGGGGATTTTCAAGCAGAGCCCCTTTCGTATTCCGCCATTGCAGGTGCCATCCATTTCGCTAAGTGGGAAGACCCTTTCCTCTCGTTCGACGCCGAAGGTTTACCCTGCCGCGATTTGACCTTTTCTTCCGATAGATCTTTCTCGGGGCAGGAGGGATGCTCTAGCATTGACTCGATCCTTCTCAACCATGTTACATGCGCGGCCCTTGTCAAAGCTGAAACAGTTGCTTCCTTTGAGACACAGCACCGTCCTTTGAGGATTGTCTGCTCTTGGCCGAAGATTTTTCTCTCGGGGTTCATCCATCACCGAACGGCTCCCTTGCTGTTCACCCAGGATGAGAATAATTGCGCAAATCATGTGAACACAACCCCACATGCGGATGCACTTTGGGATGACTCATTTGCGCAGGCCTTCGATCAAGCTGATGGTGTTGATCAGCGATGGCAAGTCGCCAATGACTTTTGTGTCTCGTTCCTTTTGCAGAATGGTGCCAAATGGGGCAAGGGTCCAAAGGAAAGGGGTCAACCTCCTCGTTTTCGGTCTCGAAGGGTGTGTCCTGGTCAGAACCATTTTGGAGGATCTGCTAAATCCCGTTTGTCGCGGTTTTGCCGTGCATATCGTGGTCTTCATGAACTCAGCATCCGACTGTCACGCCAGCAAGGTAATGTTGCTGATACCCAAGTCACGATTAACACGTGTTTCAAACTTCGCAAGCTGTTGACTGACTTACACTGTCCTTGTGTTTGGCCTCAAGGTGTAGTCCCGTCTTTGCTGCAGGTTTGGTCCAACCTGGCCTGGATTGGAGATGCTGCACGTACCCTTGATGTCAAGACTAAACTGTCTCGCATCCAACGGTGGAAGCAAAAGATTCAAGAAGACTCTCGGTGTGGTAATGCTTTCATTTTCAGACACCTTCGTAACCGGGCGAGTGAAGAGCCAGCCAATCTGTTGCAGGACTCTGCAGGGAACATCATTGTAGATCCTTCCCAGGCAATTCGTACGTTCAATGAGGCTTGGGATGACGTGTTTGCATGTAACATTAATGCTGACCACCCCTTGCGTATGTTGGATATCGTCTGGCCTTATATTCGTGATCACACCTCGAATTTTGAACGCCAGCCGATAGACGAACATGCCCTTTGGACTACCATCCAGGGAAGGAACCCTCAAGCAGCTCCGGGTTTTGACGGTTGGCGTACTCAGGAACTACAGATGCTGCCAGCCGCTTGTCTTCGCCCCTTTGTGACGATTTTTGCTGAGTTGGAAGTTGGGGATGATCCTCTGCCTCCCACGTTAACTTGTGCCCGTCCAATCATTCTCAACAAGAATGGGTCTTCGCACCCTATGCAGAAACGTCTCATCACGGTCCTGCCAGTTTTATACTTGGCTTACTCGGGGGCAAGGTTCCGCCAACTTCGAGGCTGGCAAATTAATTCCATGCCATCCCAACTGGTTGGAGGTGTGCAAGGCCGCAACATGTCCTGCATCCAAACCCAACTTAAGCTTGATCTTGACGTCGCAGAAACACAAGGTTTTGATCTTATTGGGATGAAGTTGGATAAGGCCAAATGCTTCGATAGAATCATTCCCTCTTTCGCCTCCTGCCTTATGTTGGCGTTTGGGATTGATCGTAGGATTGTCACGATTTTCAGCAAGTTGTACGATGGCCTGCACCGCCACCTGTCTTTTAAGAGTTGGTGTTCGCCAATCCCTACGCATGCAGCCAACGGGATTGCCCAGGGAGACAGTTTTTCCCTAGTTGCGATCAACGTCTACTCCAAGGTTTGGGTGATCTTCATGAGTCAACTTCCGGAGATTGTAGCCATGGCCTATATAGATGACGCTTATCTTTGGGCCCGTCTTGAAAACGCCAGGGTTCTTGCACATGCGGTTGAGGTCACGCGTTTTTGGGATCTCTTGTCTGGACAGTTGCTTAATGATAAAAAGTGCGTTGTGTGGGGTTCTTCTTCCAAGGCCCGTAAGATTTGTAAGCAGCTTTGGCCGGATATGTTGCTTCAACTAGAGATTGAGGTCTTGGGGGCTTCTATCCCCACTTCTAAGCGTCAGGCCTTTCATTTTGCGGATGCAAAAGTTGCTGCCATTGTCAAAGAGATTAAACACATCAAAGCCCTTCCACTCCCTGTTTCTGTGAAAGCCATGTTCCTTGGAATCAAGGTTATCCCAAGATTTTGCTTCGCGGCCTCTCTGAATCAAATCCCCAAGGAAGCTGCGAGAAAGTTTCAATCTGAGATTGTCCACACTCTGTGGGGCCGAAGACCGCACTGGAGGTCTCGTGCGCTGGTCCTGGCTTTTGTCTCGGATCCACACCGCAATGACCCGAACTGTGCTAAAGCCTACCACACAGTGATGGAGTTTCTCCGCTTTCTTCGAACGCCAGGGAACGGCCTGGAGAAGTGCAAATGGACAGCAGCACACGGCGCCTCTGACTCGTCCTTTCTTGCCAGAGTTGGGGCTGCTTTCCAATTTTTTGGGCTCACCCTTTCCAGCGACCTCGTGATTTCCTTTGGAGGCTCTCCTCTCATGCCAGCCTGGGATGTTCACCCCAAAGATATTAAGATGCTTTTGCAGCGCCTTGCTAGGCACAAGTGTTATGTTGAAGCGGCCAATCAACATCGTAAGGACTTTCGGCAGCCGTCGGGAATTTTAGATGTTGATCTCACCTGTGGCTTGAGAAAACTTTCCAAGATTGAGCATGAATCTAAACCGCTGGTTGAGAGCCATTTCATTGCACAACTGGTTGGCTGCACTCTGACCCGTGACCGGATCTTTGCAGCGCAGCTTGACTCGTCGGACCAGTGTCGTTTCTGCGGCCGGATCAAGGAGTCTCTTTCGCATATTGTTTTCGACTGTGAGTCCTATCACTCTAGCCATCCTCCGTTGCCGCTCCATGAACTAGGTGCCAATTTTGGTGTTTTGGGGATTGTGGAACACCCAATTGGTGTGATTCGTCACCGCTTGAACTGGAGTGATCCTTCGCATCTCGAGTGTAGTGACTTTGATCCACATTCGCCGCCGGTTGACTGGTGGTCCGATGGGTCGGTTCTATGGCCGGATATTTTCTGGCTCTCTTCCGGAGGATTTGCCATCGTTGACCACTGTTCCAGGGAGGTTTTTGGTGGACCAGTCTTTCACCTTCAGATTTCCTCTTACACCACTGAGTTGTGGGCGGTCGTTGTTGCTATTCACAAGTGTACCTGCCCCACTAAGGTGTTTTCTGATTGTCAGACTATTGTCGACCAATTTGCTGTTCTCTGCGAACAAGGGGACCCTTGCGGTACATGGTCCCACCTGGCCTGGTGGCAAGCAATTGCCAAGCGCAGGAGAGATTTGATACAGCATCATCCTTCTCCGTTCACCTTGACTTGGATTCCCTCTCACCTTTTCGAGCATTTGCCGGAACAGTTTATCACACCTGAATTAGCGGCCGCTAAGCAAACCGAAGTTCGCCATATCGTTGGTAACCGTTTTGCTGACAAACATGCTAAGAAACATGCCTTACAGGCCACCAGTGTGCACCCTCAAGATGAAAAATGGTTGAAAGACAGTATTGTACACCGACAGGACTGGCTTACTTGTTTGAACATGGATATCGCCGCCTTTCAGCTCTCTGACATGTCTTCAAGACAAGATGCTCGTATCGAAGAGGAAGCTATGTCCGAGGATGTTTTTGCGCTTTTCCCACGATGGGAGTGGACTGCGGAAGCCTCGCAATTCCCTTGGATCCCACAAAAGGATTTCGCTGCGGTTGACATCCCCACCACGTGGACGGACCGTTTGCTGGACTGGAAATCCTTGGGGGAGTTCTTTGCTGACCAAAGGTGGAAACTGTCGGAGGATGCGGTCACTTCTTATGTTGAGTTGGCGGTCCTCTTTTACCTGCAAGGTCGGAACCTCCCTTCCCACGATCCTGCGATTCATACTTTTCGTGACCTGACTTCCGAAATCCGGCAATTTGTGGCTGCAGCTAGACTGAGTTCCCAAGATCTTTTTGTCCCCGGAAAGCACAACCGTCACCGGAACAAATGTATAGGGAAATCCTTGCCGAATGGCACTATCGATGGTGCAGAAGTTTTCTTCTCCCGAGAACAGAAAGTTCGGTTCGCTCGAATTTTAGCAAGTGTTTCAACTGCCCGCTTACAAGCCTGGGCTTTCAGTTTGGACAGTGCGGAATCCTAATTTGGGGGTCACATGTGAAATCACATGTGTGGAGGACTTTGAGCAGAATGCTTGAAGTACCAGCCGAGATTCGCTCGACGCGACGGGAAGAACAGAATAGACGTGAGACTACCAGGGCAAAACGGGCCACACCTCTCCATGTGGCAGCACGCCATCCAGCAAGATTTTTGCAGACCAGTCCCCCTGGGTACAAGTGCACTGTTTTGGCTTTTGCACGACTAGTTCGTTCTAGCTACCTGATACTGTGTGTACCCAGCTTGCAAGAGACAACTTCCTACTATACAGATTCTTTCCAGCTTCCTTCAATCGGCTTCGAAGTCTGACTCATGTACCATGTCCACATCTTTCTCCGACAAAATTCCATGCGGAGTCGGCTGGCCTGCACAATTGGCCTCCATTTGCGCAAAGTCTCGCCAGTGAGGTCCTCACGAGAACGATAATCTGGAGCAACAGCTGACCCTTTGTGTCAGTGAATAAACCTGTTTGAAGTACAGTAAATGAGCCAAGACCACGCGGTGTGTTGTTGAATTCCAACAAATCCTGGAGTTGGGCCGCAGAAAGCTGCAAGGCTGCACTTGGTGTGTTATGTCCTCAGCCACCAGGACCTGACACGAGCAGCATCGAAGAGCATCCCGCCTCGCTCCGTCCAAATGCCAAGTTCTACAAAAGGCACCGGTGAGGCTTCTCTCGTTGTGTTGAGTCTTCCAAGTTGCTGGGCTCTGGAGCGTCTGAAAAACGGAGCGCTGGATTCTAGCTGCTGTACTTGTTTCAAACTCGTGCCTAAGCTTCTCCTTCAAACTGCTGTACGTTGCACCGAAAGCCAAATTTTGTGGAACAATCAAACTGAGCTCTTTGCAGCAATGCTAGGAGAGAATCTGTGTCTCCATCAAAAAGCCTGATCTGTCTGTCTTGGTCTGTATTCGTTTGCAATCATGTCACAGTTGTCAAGAAACTCACCATCTAGGAACATAGAACAAGTTGCGTGAAAACGTAGTGTAAAAGTGTACCAAAGTGCAGCAAATTACATCAAGCGCCTGTGTAGAACGAAGGGCAGGATTATAATGTCAAAGTTGTTGGCAGGAAGCTTCAGCTCAGGTGGTGTTGTCTTAAGTATCACCTTGGTCTCTCAAAACAAATGGATTCCGGGGCTTGCCCGGCTTGCCCCATTCAAACGAAGCAGTCGAAGGCAACAACCTGAGGGCAGAGCGTCATCCACTGAAAGTCGGCGCTTGTCCCACAAAGAGCCTTGCTGACGGAACTGTCATGTGAAGCTGTGGAGCGAGACTGCATCCTCTACAGTGGTTGGTTCTCAAAAGGAATCTCAATGCTTCTCAAGAAGTTGCTACCTCCACAACAAAGCATGTGTTTCTGCCGCCGATGTCTCAAGAATGTGCTAGTCTCTTGTGGAATGTTGTTCTCTCGGCCTGTGTTGCTCAAGGTTTCAGTTTTGCCTGCAAACAGAAGCAAGCACCTTGTGGGAACATGAGCTAATCAGTTGGCTCGCTTCAAGGTTTCTGTGCAAGCACTCACATTGCTGCACCATTGTCGTTTTGGGCAGGAAGGTCCATATTGTCCCGAAATGCACGCATCATTCTTTTCTCACTTCTTTGCTAGGGCCTTGCCCTTCCCTCTTCTATTGAAGGTAGCCAATGGCCCGCAAATAGAAGGCACAGGTACCATCGTGCATCATGCAGGAAAATCTGGCTCAATAAAGTTCCCACCAAGCTTCGTAGTGGCTTTGGCTCCAGCCGCCTCTTCACATCCGCTGCAACAACTTCCACATGCTTCAGGGAGTCCTGCTTTAGTTGCCAAAACATGCTTTCATTGTTCGCTCTTGCAACAGGCGGTCCGTTGTGAAGAAGATCGACGGCCGGGTTTTGCTCCAAACAACGAACATCACCTGTGCTTGCGGCTTGCTTACTACTAGCAAACATTGTTACTACTAGTAAGGCACCTGTTACTACTAGCGTGGCACTTGCTCCTGCAAATGCATCGCCAACCGTCCAGAGCCGTCCAACACAAGAAGCTTCGGCGTTCGGCCCCGCTGCACCAGCCAAAGCCGCCTGCTCTGGTCGCGGGAGAGGAAACAACGTCGCTGAATACAGCACTCTGCAATAAGAAAAGCCATACAAAATAGACACTGGATGTCTTCTATTGCTTGGGTCTATTGCAAAAAGAAAAGAATGTCCACTTCCAGGTGCAGCATCGACTCGGGAATTGTCCCAACTTGTCCGTCACATGGCGAATAAACGATTCGGATGTGAACAAAGCGTGGCAGGTGTCCTGTGCTGTGTCCAATCTTCAAAGTTGAGCGCTGCTGAGTAGCTTCCATTCATGCAGCAGCGGGCCCATGAGGTCAATGGAGGTCCTGGAAGAAAAGATTGGGCATGCAATCATAGGGATATACAGTAGCTTGTAAATTGAATGCAATGGTTCCTTCAATATTCACTTCACCCAAATGTGATCAAATTTTGCACAAGAATGGTCCTAGGCCGATGCTTGCAAGCTGCAGTGATGACTGGTAGCCCTTGGGCATCCAATTCCGGAAGATTTCCTAAGAGAAAAGGCCACAGGGGATCACTGGCATCATTGAATCATGTAGAAGGAAGTGCTAAAGCATTGGGAAATCAACCCAACTCATTCAGAGGAGTCTCCGGAGTGCACAAGGGATTTGTAGGGATCTGCAGCGTCTGGCCATCGGACTGCCTTTCGCAACTCTCCTTCCTGTCATCAAAAAAACGGAAGTTGGAAGAGCCAACGACAATTCGAAACACAAAGTCCATGGATGTGTTCGTTTCAGCTTTCCTTGTAGACCTTGTGCGAGCGCTGCAGCGCCAGCCGGGACTCCACCTCGTCGCCACAGAACCATCGGTCGAAGTAGCCAGTAGGTTCCCAGGCCAAATACCTGGGATTACCTGGGTGGTTTGCATCCAGGCCAACCACGCAGAACTGATAGAGCCCATTCCGAGAAGGCTCTACCAGGCAGGTCATGAAGCTCTCAAACAGGGTGCCCCAGGGCACCAAGCCGCGGACGCCTACACCCGCCCTGGCAGTCAAGTCGGCTGGCCAGCCTGAGGCCTCAGACAAGTCTGCTTGTCAAAGGAAATATCAAATCATTCAGGTCAAACCCTGGCGTTCAAACGCAAAGGACCCCAAGCCTACTGCGTCTCACTCTTCGCCGAAAAAACAGCCACCCCAGCTGTCGCCGCACTGGGGGCCCCACCGGCGTCGTCGGTCGGGGCATCGCCAGGTGACCGGCGGCCGCCACGGGTCCAAGGTATTGGCGCCCACAGTGTGGCCGTGGCGGCTGCTGCGCCACGGCGCTTTGGAGCACCGTGGCGCCGCTGCGCTCGCTGCGCTCGCTGCGAGCTGTGGCCGGTGGGCAAAGAGCCTCGGCCAACTGACGGCCAACAGCTGCACGGAGGCTGCCTGGAGAACATGCCATGTTGTTTCGATTAATGACACGAGATTTACTCGGATACTGGACGCACTCAAAGAACTGTAGCCTTCTCATATCCATGGAAGTGTCATCGTGCCTAAAGTACAAGGAGTGGAGGCAAAATAGGGCTCCTTTGCCAACTCCATGGCTGGCAAATGAGATCAACATGAGTTTACTGCATAATTGTCTGATATGTGCGTCAAAGTCCAGCTAGTCCAGCTGTGCAAAAGAAGGAAAGGAGTACCTTCTGCGGTGCGGGAGTCAAATACTGGTGGACGCTGGTTTTCACTTGTCATCATGTTCCCTGAAGCTCTTCTTTGCAGGCTCTTGTGGATAAAAAGTCGCTGCCAAGTGCAGAGTGTTTCTTTGCATCAACCCTACTTGATATTCATGAAAACGTCACAAAAGTTCATCAAAGTCCTACTGGCGTGACTCCACTCACGAGGCAAAGGCCGGGAAGCGCCGCCCTAGTCACATCAAAGAGCACCTTTTCACCTGATCGCAACGGCTGTCAGGTTGCCCTTCTCCAGAGCGAATCCTGGAGCACCATTACGGGACAAGAACAAAAACACATAAGCCTGAATGCGAGTATTTACGTAGAAAAGTGAGGTTGTGAGGCCGATGTTGTCCATGAAGGTTGGCAAAGACTTGAATCTGTTTAACCATGTGTCTGGAGCACAAAGATCTGCCACCACCCTTGTGTACTATTTCTTCCGCACCTGGTATCCTTGACAAAATGTCTGCCAAGGCTCGCACACTAACCCTTTGCTTGCGCCGAAAGCCTCAGGTCAAGTCGGAAATTACAAACTGTAAAAACTGGTAGAAACAAGTGCATCGCTACTAGCAACAAGTGCCTTACTAGTAGTAACAAGAAGCTATTAGAAACAAGTATATAGTCTATGGTTTGAAAGAATCCATGTGGCATTCGAGCTCAAGTGCTGTGAAGCCTTGGACAGGCATTATCCATCGCGTTCACTTCACTGGTCATCTGGGGTTGTAAGCGTTATTGGGCATCCAAATGCATTGGTACAAAAATGCAAACATTGATCACCTAAATATGTGGGTCAAAACCCCCAGCGATCCCGGTCGATGCCCCGATCAATTAACACAATGGACACACGGCTTTCAACCTGTTTGAGGTGTCCAGTTTGGAACACCCGTGTCAGTCAGTTGCTGAAAGAGCTCGGTCGGTCAGAACTTCCGTCCTCGGTCCAGGATTCCGGCCATTCACCCAGCGTGATCTCTGGACCGCAGCGAGCCCGGTTTGCCACGGCGGACCTCCTGGCATTGCTTTCCCTTTTCCCGTGGGCTTTCGCCACTTCGGCCGATCGCAGGTCTTGGTGGCAGCCAGAAGCTGAGGGCTCAAATGTCAAGCCATGCCGCACAGAAAAAGAATTTCATAGTTCAAAGTCCTAGGACCTTAGGACCTAGGTCCTAGTCCTAGTCCACAGTTGGTCTAACTTAAGGTCGTTCGAGACGAAAGGGTGCGACTTGGGTGTACCAGAAAAAGCAAAGCAGCCGGGATAAAAAGAATATGACGACCGGCAGGTGCCTCGCGATCACTGGACTTTCAAGCTCCACCTGGCTGGTTCGTCAAACCATCACCAGGCCCTCTGCAGCTGATGAATTCCCAAAAAAGATCCCAAGACATGTGGCAGGGAAAATGGCATCCCAGAAGCCACCCAGAAGCTTCCCTGTCTAACTTGTACATATAATTGTAACCGAGGTTGCCGGTTTCATCTGATCATACTTGGGGCACGTATCTAACTTTTAGCTTGTTCCAGCTTCTAAGGCCCAACAAAGCTTTACGAAAAAATCATCCGTTTACAATCCTCCGCCCTCTGAATCCACCTCCAGCTTCTGCCGTTTTGCCTCTCTACCGGGAGCACCTGGCAAATCTTTACAAATCAAATTGAGCACCACTTGGAATCAACTGTCGGACGAAACGAGGCATCGCTCATGCTCACCTGCACTCGGCTCAATCTGTTCGATGCCATGACCGCGTGGTGGCTCGGCTCAATCAAAAGAGATCATCGGATCATTGAATATTGTTGATCCAGCCTCGGGAGAAAGGTGTTGGCTTTGTACTTTTGAGCCTCAGCACAGCAGAATTTGACCCTCCGAATCCTTCTTGCAGACTTCGTAGACATGAAGGTCCGAGGCCGTGGCTTTTCAGGCTTGGGGTTCTCCTAGTCATAGTCAGCACACAACAAGCCATCCATTCGCAACACAACTCCAGCAAGTAAGGGCTTCCTGCATGGACACCCAGCGCATTGATCGCGGAGTCGCCTCATTGAGCGGCGCAAAAATCAGACCGTGGCCCTCACCTACTTAATGAAGTAGAGACTGCCTACTACTAGCGTGGCACTTGCTTCTAATAGCTTCTTGTTACTACTAGTAAGGCACCTGTTACTACTAGCGTGGCACTTGTTACTAAGGGAGAAGTAAGCTACTAGGTCCTAGTAGCTTACTTCTCCCTTAGTTACTAGGAGAAGTTCGTTCCTAGGAACAGGACGCAGGATAGCGAAGACGCTATCTCACGCTTCTTCAAGGAAGCTCGCCCCACCTGAGGGAGGGGAGGAGCTTCCTTGAAGAAGCACTCCCACTAATGATTTGGTTCCTGGATCTTTAGGGAAACTTAACTTCCAATGATCTTTAGATATTGTTCCGGTAAGAGCGGTCCATTCTGGTTTTGTTTTCTCCACTTGCCACAAAACAGCGAGACCAAGTTTGCTTCAAATTTGCACCAAATTGAGGATCAGGTCAATCAAACATCATAAGGTTGGCTTGTGGGATGTTTTGCGGGAATGAATCCAATGCAGGAGTTCAAAGCCAACAAGGCGATCAAAATAAGCACTAAGCATCCACGTCGAAGCGCGGAAAGAAGCAGCAGCAACGACAACAACCATTTGCGGCTCCCTGCCATGGGTCGCTTCCCTCGCATGAAGACTTTCTGAATCACCTTCGGCCAAAAGCAGTGAACCGTTGATTGCCCTCTTCACCCTTCAAGTCCTTCCAATCCTCGAGTCTCTCATGGTGTATTCGGAAGGGTTTAGGGGGCTAAACTTAAACTGGCCAAATTGCGGAAATAAATATATATCTGACCTTTTGGGACAACTTGCGACACTCACACTCATTGCAACTCTTGTAAATGACCATTCAGCCTCCAAAGGTGTCTCTGGCGCATCCCTCATCAACGAACACACTCTTCTGGAGAAATGGTTCGAAGGACAAGGATCTTCATCAAGTTCTTTGACTCCATAGCGATTCTGTGGCCAGATCATTCTCTGTATATAAGGCTCACAAAGCATCCAAGTTCTGTGCTTGGAGGAGAAGCAGCTGCCGAGGCCTGTGCAACATTCAGGTGTCACGAAACATTGATAAAAAGCTGCAAAGGGAAAGGATTTTTGCTGCTGTACCCCAATATCAGGTCAGGAACGAAAGCACGGCATATGGATGTATCAACAAAGTTGACCATCAAAGAAAAACCTTCACAAAGACATCACAAATGAATTGTCAGTCTCTGGGGAAGGGAAGATTTCATGTTTGCACCTCTGCCATCCCTTGCCATCGGTCACATGCTTTGCAGAGTTGAGGAATAAATATGATAGCTGTGTGAACAATTTTGAGATCTTTTGTCGTCGACCGCTGGACAGTAGATAAACAGTATCTGGGCCAAAAGGAGCATTACCTTGATAGAAGGGTTGGTTCTTCTAAATGTTGGATAACCTTCAAAATGCCGGTTCTCTTCTTCTTAGCTAAGCAGAGTTGAAGTGGTCAGGATATTCTTGGCCAAAGAAGCCAATGGCTGCCGGAGGTGCTCATGAACAAACATTTTGCAAGCAGGTGGTGCAATTCGTTTCAGAAAACTGTTCCTAAGATTCAATAACACAGCTTACTGACGGGCCTACTGATCTACAATCGCCTGTTCTTTCCTTTCATTGTGTTTTCTCTTTTGTAGGTTCTCTTTTTCCTTGAGGAGGTCGGGTCTCTCGGTGTCACCCGAAGATGATTCACGGACTTTTCACCTGCTCTCATCGACGAGTCATCACCTTCATCCTTCCAGAACATCTGGGTCAGATGCACGGCCTTAGAACATGCCAGTGTCCGCTACAGTACAATGTGGGTTTGTCAGTGGGTTCATGTCCGCCACCGTAAAAACTGGACTCTCCTACCAGTAGCATCAGGAGTTTGACTGCTTTCCACATGCAAAAATCTGGTGACTCCTGTATGGCCGAATGAGTTGTTCTACATAGCGAGCAACAGTTTAAATTAGAGAGGGCTCAGGGATTAGGGCACGAGTTTCAGCTGGTGACCAGGTCTTGGGTGTTTTCTCTACTGTGACCTTCTGTTGTGTTTCTTCTCGTCGATGGACAACTGGCGATCTTCTCCGCCATGCCTAGGCCTAGGCCATGGGATTCCGCACCATCCAGTCGAGCGCAAAGCGCCTGTCAGCCCACGAAATGGTCAGGTGAACGAGGTGCCATCGAAAAGCTGAAGAAACGGCCTGTGATTCTCAGCTTGAAGTACAGAAACTGCAGTTTCACGGCAGGAGTGTCCGCGTTTGGACCTCAATTGTGCATGCCTGGATGTTTGCCCTGGTGAACACAGGGATCCGTGCTTGTCAACCCATAGATAGGTTTGATCAACACGACTCAAGAATTCCAGGACATGAAAATGGAAATTCCTCCCGTTCATTGGCCGACGGGCTCTTGATCCTTGGCTTGATGGAAACTGTTCAGTTCATCGCTTACATACTCAGCTTGAGAAGGACAATCCCAGTGTGGGGAACGCAAAGATTAAAAAGTGTAACATGAGCACTCGTTTTTTGAGGACACTTTGAGGACGATACGTGAGACCACGTTACATGCCGAAGGCCCTTTTGTACCCAAGTAAAGAGACGCGCTGCTCTGCCTGTTTGCAGGTTATGAGCCCAACGTTTTTTTAAGTCCACCCAGTGCCACAGAGCGTGTGGACTGGTAGTTGGCCGCCATGGCAAATCCGTTCTGGACGCAGGAGATGCAGGACCGGTTCATCTTGGAGCAGATGAGGCCGGAAGATCTTCCACTGATCCTGCAGGACTCAGGGGTGAGCAGTGTTGTCGAGTCGGAGGAGATGATTCCTGATGCTCGCGATCTCCTGGACCTACTTAGCTTGGACGTGGAGCAGGAGAA